GTGTGCCAACCTTGTGAAGACTTACAGAAAACGTTTGACCTCTGTCATTGCCAACAAAGGATATATAACAAAGTATTGAGATGAATTTTTGATATTGACCAAATACTTATTTTCCACCATAATTTGCAAATAAATTCTTTCCAAATCAGACAATGTGATTTGTCTGGATTTGTTTGCTCATTTTGTCTCTCATAGTTGAGGTCTACCTATGATGACAATTACAGGCCTCTCTCATCTTTTTAAGTGGGAGAACTTGCACAATTGCCCCACTGTATATCATGTGTATATATGATATACAGTAGGGCAATACTTTTTTGCCCCACTGTATATCATGTGTATATATGTGTTATGCATGTGTATGGATAGATATATACTTTCTTTTGAGAGCAGGCAACAGAATTTCAGTTTTAATGTGGGCCAGTATACTCATACTAAAAAATGACAAATACAATTGCACTGCAAACCAGACACAGCTTCCAAATGCTTTTGAAGGGCAGTTCCAAGTATGTCCGTTGCAATAGACCAACTGATAATGAGCATTGGATCCAAAATCAGCAATAAGTATAAATGGCACACCAGAAAACTTTATGCAAAATTCTCCTGCCTCACCCGCCTTTTTCTCAAAAAGAAGACCTGAACCATATAAGTAACAGCCTCTTATATTTCTGGAATTTCTTTTATTTTTGTGGGATTAGATTAATTTTAATAGAATCACCTCCTAGTGTCAACAGAAAGCAAAATAACTCAGTCGATAAACTTCCTCTACACAAGACTGAACTTAATTTCTTTAATAGAGCTACCAACTATCTGCTTTGCAAAGAATCTTGGCCAATTTCCATTATTATTAATTTGATCAATAGTTTTCAATTAATCATTGAAACAAAAAAACTTGAAGCTCCTTTTTAAATTTATTTTTATTTTTTGTTTCTGCACTATTGTATTTTCCTTTCTTTTTTCTTAATGTTAGTTTTTATGTTAGTTTAAAGCTTTTAGTAATATATATATTAAACAAAATAAAGAACGTATCTTTATTCAACAAAAAGCACACAATTAGCCTTCAACCATTCTCAATTTTTCAGCTAACAAATGAGCCAATCTCACCTTAGAATCTTTCAGAGATTGTCTGCATTACGTCTACCCTGGCATTGTGCCTTTATTTTGAAGCTACGAATCTTAGCTTCTTCTTATGCACTATCAATCATTCCTTTTCCTTACCATTTGCTCCTTTTTATTTAATTCAGGATGTATTACAATAATATAGCATTTGGGAAGGAAAATACAACTCAATAAACCAAAAGCAGAGGTTAAGACGGAGAAAATCTCCACGGCTACCATCAATTTGCCCTTGGTGCTCAAGTAGGTGGGGATGAAGGAAATCCAAACACTGCAAAACACCAACATGCTGAAAGTGATGAACTTGGCTTCATTGAAACTGTCAGGCAGTTTCCTGGCAAAGAAAGCCACTGTGAAGCTTTGCTTGAGCGGGGGGGGGGGGAGACACTGGACTGAGAAGCTGGGGCGAGGAGCTGTCTGCCATTGCAGTCTAGGTATTCCTGGACAGTTGTACCTAGAAATGGGGGGAGGACCCAACACGCAGATCACAGTCAGAGATGGAAAACCGATCCTCGCTCTGAACAGAAGGCAATGGCAAGAAAAGCCAGACAGAGTTCTAATACTGTCTGTACAGCCCTTGTGACAAAAGGTCACTGGCTAAACTGAGAAACAGGTGGTTAACAAAGGAATCTCTTCGCTCTTCCTTCTAGGCCTTAGGGCCAGTTAAAAACACCTTGGTCTGCTCAAATGCAGCCAAGGCCCACACCTGGAGTAGCCCCCACAAGTTTCAAGAAGCGCAGCCTCCGCTGCGAAGCTGCAGTCAGGAATTCTCCCTCAAGGTCTCGACGTGAGCAAATGGTCTCCGAGCCGAAATCTGATCTCCGTTGCTCAGCTGATCGTCAGAATTGTAAAGAGGCTACAGATCGGCAGAACGGGAGCTCCCCTCCGAACGAAGTCTGCAGCCTCCCCCTTTCAAAGCCCAAAGGGCTGCAGAGAAGGAAGGGCAAAGCCCCTATCCCCCCCCAACGCAATCTCCAAGGATTCCTAATTTGGAAGTGAAAGCCAAATTATTCTAATTTAAAGGTAACCAATTTCAATTTGAATAGTCTAAAAGAACAAAAGGAAGAATCAAGCTAAACTGGGAGCCTTCTAAAAAGCGTCTTGTCTGAGCACGAGACTAAGACAAAACTGGGAAGCCACACCCAGAAGGAGGCGTGGCAGAGTTTTTTTGTCTTAGTCTGAGCAGGTGGGATTAAATTACCCAATCAGTGGAGTCTACATCCATCCTGATGGAGAAAATGGCAGACTGCGTTGTTTGGTGACCCCCGTGAAATGGTCATTCGACCCCAAATGGGGTCCCGACCCACAGGTTGAGAACCATTGCAATAGACCAACTGATAATGAGCATTGGATCCCAAATCAGCAATAAGTATAAATGGCACACCAGAAAAGTTTATGCAAAACTCTCCTGCCTCACCTGCCTTTTTCCCAAAAAGAAGACCTGAACCATATAAGCAAAAGCCTCTTATCTTTCTGGATTTTCTTTTATTTTTGTGGGATTAGATTAATTTTAATAGCAATCACCTCCTAGTGTAAACATAAAGCAAAATATCTCAAGACTGAACTTAATTTCTTTAATAGAGCCACCAACTATCTGCTTTGCAAAGAATCTTGGCCAATTTCCATTATTATTAATTTGATCAATAATTTTCAATTAATCATTGAAACAAAAAAACTTGAAGCTCCTTTTTAAATTTATTTTTATTTTTTGTTTCTGCACTATTGTATTTTCTTTTCTTTTTTCTTAATGTTAGTTTTTATGTTAGTTTAAAGCTTTTAGTAATATATATATTAAACAAAATGAAGAACGTATCTTTATTCAACAAAAAGCACACAATTAGCCTTCAACCATTCTCAATTTTTCAGCTAACAAATGAGCCAATCTCACCTTAGAATCTTTCAGAGATTGTCTGCATTACGTCTACCCTGGCATTGTGCCTTTATTTTGAAGCTACGAATCTTAGCTTCTTCTTATGCACTATCAATCATTCCTTTTCCTTACCATTTGCTCCTTTTTATTTAATTCAGGATGTATTATAATAATATAGCATTTGGGAAGGAAAATACAACTCAATAAACCAAAAGCAGAGGTTAAGATGGAGAAAATCTCCACGGCTACCATCAATTTGCCCTTGGTGCTCAAGTAGGTGGGGATGAAGGAAATCCAAACACTGCAAAACACCAACATGCTGAAAGTGATGAACTTGGCTTCATTGAAACTGTCAGGCAGTTTCCTGGCAAAGAAAGCCACTGTGAAGCTTTGCTTGAGCGGGGGGGGGGGGGAGACACTGGACTGAGAAGCTGGGGCGAGGAGCTGTCTGCCATTGCAGTCTAGGTATTCCTGGACAGTTGTACCTAGAAATGGGGGGAGGACCCAACACGCAGATCACAGTCAGAGATGGAAAACCGATCCTCGCTCTGAACAGAAGGCAATGGCAAGAAAAGCCAGACAGAGTTCTAATACTGTCTGTACAGCCCTTGTGACAAAAGGTCACTGGCTAAACTGAGAAACAGGTGGTTAACAAAGGAATCTCTTCGCTCTTCCTTCTAGGCCTTAGGGCCAGTTAAAAACACCTTGGTCTGCTCAAATGCAGCCAAGGCCCACACCTGGAGTAGCCCCCACAAGTTTCAAGAAGCGCAGCCTCCGCTGCGAAGCTGCAGTCAGGAATTCTCCCTCAAGGTCTCGACGCGAGCAAATGGTCTCCGAGCCGAAAGCTGATCTCCGTTGCTCAGCTGATCGTCAGAATTGTAAAGAGGCTACAGATCGGCAGAACGGGAGCTCCCCTCCGAACGAAGTCTGCAGCCTCCCCCTTTCAAAGCCCAAAGGGCTGCAGAGGAGGAAGGGCAAAGCCCCTATCCCCCCCCAATGCAATCTCCAAGGATTCCTAATTTGGAAGTGAAAGCCAAATTATTCTAATTTAAAGGTAACCAATTTCAATTTGAATAGTCTAAAAGAACAAAAGGAAGAATCAAGCTAAACTGGGAGCCTTCTAAAAAGCGTCTTGTCTGAGCACGAGACTAAGACAAAACTGGGAAGCCACACCCAGAAGGAGGCGTGGCAGAGTTTTTTTGTCTTAGTCTGAGCAGGTGGGATTAAATTACCCAATCAGTGGAGTCTACATCCATCCTGATGGAGAAAATGGCAGACTGCGTTGTTTGGTGACCCCCGTGAAATGGTCATTCGACCCCAAATGGGGTCCCGACCCACAGGTTGAGAACCATTGCAATAGACCAATTGATAATGAGCATTGGATCCCAAATCAGCAATAAGTATAAATGGCACACCAGAAAAGTTTATGCAAAACTCTCCTGCCTCACCCGCCTTTTTCCCAAAAAGAAAACCTGAACCATATAAGCAAAAGCCTCTTATCTTTCTGGATTTTCTTTTATTTTTGTGGGATTAGATTAATTTTAATAGCAATCACCTCCTAGTGTAAACATAAAGCAAAATATCTCAAGACTGAACTAAATTTCTTTAATAGAGCTACCAACTATCTGCTTTGCAAAGAATCTTGGCCAATTTCCATTATTATTAATTTGATCAATAATTTTCATTTAATCATTGAAACAAAAAAAAGAAACCTGAAGCTCCTTTTAAAATTTATTTTTATTTTTTGTTTCTGCACTATTGTATTTTCTTTTCTTTTTTCTTAATGTTAGCTTTTATGTTAGTTTAAAGTTTTTAATAAGATATATATTAAACAAAATGAAGAACGTATCTTTATTCAGGAAAAAGCACACAATTAGCCTTCAACCATTCTCAATTTTTCAGCTAACAAATGAGCCAATCTCACCTTAGAATCTTTCAGAGATTGTCTGCATTACGTCTACCCTGGCATTGTGCCTTTATTTTGAAGCTACGAATCTTAGCTTCTTCTTATGCAGTATCAATCATTCCTTTTCCTTACCATTTGATCCTTTTTATTTAATTCAGGATGTATTATAATAATATAGCATTCGGGAAGGAAAATACAACTCAATAAACCAAAAGCAGAGGTTAAGATGGAGAAAATCTCCACGGCTACCATCAATTTGCCCTTGGTGCTCAAGTAGGTGGGGATGAAGGAAATCCAAACACTGCAAAACACCAACATGCTGAAAGTGATGAACTTGGCTTCATTGAAACTGTCAGGCAATTTCCTGGCAAAGAAAGCCACTGTGAAGCTGACAATGGCCAGAAGACCCAGGTAGCCCAACACAATGTAAAACATCATCTCTGAGCCTTCGTTGCATTTCACTAAGATCTCACCCACTTGGGAATGCTTCTCTAATTCTGGAAAAGGGGGCTTGTTCACTAACCAAACAGCACAGATGGCAATCTGAATCAAAGAACAAGGCACAATAACCAAGATTGCTAGCCTCTTTCCCATCCATTTCCTCATCTTGTTCCCTGGTTTTGTAGCCACAAAAGCCAGAACCACAGTGATCGTTTTGGCCAGTACACAGGAAACAGCAACAGAGAAGGTGATACCAAACACAGCCTGCCTTAAAAGGCAGGTTTCCTTGCTAGGTCTTCCTATGAAGAAGAGGGAGCAAAGAAAACATAGCAGCAGAAAGGTGAGCAGGATACATGTGATGCTCCAATTGTTGGCTTTCACAATGGGAGTGTTCGAGTGTAACCTGAAGATTGCTATCACAATAAGTGTGGTCAGAGAAAGAAAAAGTGCCAAAGATGTCAGAGTTGTTCCCAGGCCATCTTTATAGGACAGGTAAGTAATTACTTTAGGAATGCATTCTTGTTGATTTGTGTTAGGATACTGTTCTTCTTGGCAAGACTCACATTCATCTGCATCTGAAGATCAGAAGCATAAATTCATTATTTGAACTTTGTACTAATATTTTTCATACTTCTTGCTCTTTATATATTATTTGATATAAAAAAAGTTAGTATTGAACTCTACAAAAGTCTTTTAAAATGATGGTCCCCAATCTTTTCAGCTTTCTGGAACAGTAACAGCACTGGCACTGGTGGGGAGAGGGAATAGTTTTGCACAAGCAATGGGTGAGCATACACAGCTCCATTTGCATGAGCAGCAGGTGCACAAAGCTCACACAAATGGAGCTTCACATGTTCATACATATGGCTGCACACCACTTGCATGGCCCAGTTCCGAATAGGCACACCTTGGGGGTTGGGGTCCCTGATTTAAAAGCACAAAGAATAGCCTTTGAGTACACTACTGAAGACCATAAACCATAATAAAGTCATTAGATGTATGTGAGAGAGAAAGCACAAAATAGAAAATTTCGGGATGTTTTCCTAGATAGATCTGAATTCTACACTTAACCATTTGTGTTGAAATCCTCCCTGAAGGACACGGAATGCAATCATAACAACAGATTTGTTTCCCCTGCTGAATTAGTTTGCTTTGTCCAGGATGGCAGCTCTCAACACAGGTAGATTTTGGCACCATCTGTTAATATTGTCTATAGAACAAGAAATAGTTTTCTCCTCTCGCTGATAATTCTGAATTACATATGTTTGGAACAGATAGATTTTAGAAATTATGAATCAGGTTATTAATATCTTAGAAAGATTCCTAATTTCACAACTATCTGACATTGGTAACTCTTTCTGCATTTTTCTTTTCCCCCAATATATTTTCTAAATTCAGCTCTCTCAACAAATTTCCTTGCTGTTCTCCAGATTACCACTCAAATGATACTGATATTAAGCGTAAGAAAATATAACAGTTCCAACCTGATGAAACGTGGGATTCCACATAACGGCACTTGCATTAATGATGAATTCTTTTCCAAGTTGAAAACTGGGATCGATTCTTCCAACTTGGACTCTCTGGAAAGATTCATTGGGAAATGTCACCAAATTGATGAGGTCATAGCCTATCGCTAAATCCCTCTTCATCGAGAAATATTTCATCTCCAACGTTATTGTTAAAGTGGACTTGTCTCAAAAATGAATTAAGCTAGAGGGAAGGAGAAAGGTGTTACTGCTGTAACAAAAAGTAACGGTCACTTGGAACATCAGTGATATGACATTTAAATTGAGATATGATGCAGTACTGAAAATTAGTGTTTTCAAAGTACATCAAGAATCAAAAAGGTTTTATCTAACTAGAACATGGATGGTTAACCATAACAGCAATATTTTTCATCTGAATCTGAAACCAGGGACTCATTCCATTCCGTCTAAACTATGTAAGATGACAGAAAGGATTTTTTTTCCTGTTCCCTGAGAAACTACAAATCTGCCTATCAAATTCATTCTCCAGAGACTCACTTCTCCCATTTTTGAATGACGTGGATAAATATTTTGTTTCAAAGAAATTAGGCTATAGTCCGTTCATCACTTTTTTATTTCTACCTCAATCATAACAAACTTACACCTTTTCTGGAGCACTCCAGCTACAAGCAATTTAGGCCTTTTTACTCATTTGGGAGAAGTAACCAGTCCTTACTCTTTATTCCTCTTCTGATAGTGGGATTAAATATCTGGTTGTTTTTGCTAATTTGAGAAGGAGCCAACCCAGAATGGAGTAAATCAGGGCTTTTCAACCTTTTCACCCATTGTACCACTTTTAGGATATGTCAACATCCGAGTACCACCAGTCGCCTAGCAAGGTGTCAAAAACTTGATGACCAAAAAAAAAAAGGAAAAAAGGGATAAAGTACAGGTAGTCCTTGACTTACAACAGTTCACTTAGTGACTGTTCAAAGTTACAATGGCATTGAAAAAGTGCCCCCCAAGCCATAGCTGAGCAAGACACCTACCTGCCCGCCCGGTGGTGCTCTTCCTCCTGTCTGAGATTTTCATTGTTGGGAGCATTTCTGTTGAGGATTGGCAGTGGGGGTGGGGGGGGGGTGTTTGGTTTTTATTTCCCTGCCCCCTCTGCTGGGACACTGTGACCATCATAAATATGAATCAGTTGCCAAGCATCTGAATGTAAATCATAAGACTCTGGAGATGCTGCAACATTCCAGCTGATCAGTGCTTCTTCAGGGCTCAGCGGAAGTGCCAGCATCAGTGCTGCTTTCCAGCTGATTGGTGCTTCCTCAGAGGTCAGTAGAAGCACCAGGATCAGTGCTGAGCTCCAGCTGGAGCCTGGAGCTGATCCTGTTGCTTCCACTGAGCCCTTACAGCCCCAAAGAAGTGTCAATCAGTTGGAAAGCGGCACTGATCCTGGCGCTTCCGCTGAGCCCTGACAGCTCTGCATCTCCAGCCATCTCTCCCTTAGGCTTGTGTGGTGCTGCCACCGATTCAGCTCATTTCCCTCCCCCGCTACCACTTTTATAGGATGGTTGTGTACCACCTGCCAGGTGCCAATTTATGACAGGTGGTACCCATATCACTGGTTGAAAAGGCCTGGATTAAATTATCCATTTTCCCTATGGTGTTAAATTTAGCATTAATTTTAAATCAGTATATCATTGGTGCATCTGGACTCTCAATTTCTAATTCACTTTAAATATTTTATAAGGTATCCCCACTCTCTCAACATTCTTCTAAAAACATTCACTTGCTTTTCTTTGCAGTTTCAAATGGTGGTTGTGTTTACTAGTTTATCTCTGTTGTTACATCATGTATGCTTCTGTTTTAGTTCTCTTTTGGTTTTCTAAATTATTTTGGTTTTAATGAATTGACCAATTTACTTGTGAGTACCTGCCAGGGAGGAACATTTTGGAGATTCCATTGGCCTTGATTCCTGCTTCCCCTCCGTTTGTTCCTCCAGGAATACAAAGCATGGAGAGAATGTGCCACAAGATAAACAGCATTGTAGATGCTATAACTCCAACCAGACATCCCCATTTCAAAGACAAAATCAGGAAGGCTCTCCAGCTTCTCTTCCCCAGTGCAATTCTTCATTTTCTGTCCATAAATTATATGGATGTTGAGTGAGCAGAAGAATGTTGATGTCCAGATTTCAGACAGGAAATAAAATGTAGACTTCAGAGGATTTATTTTCTCAAGAAAATTCTGAAATCCTGGCACATCTTTGGTATGGAGTGAGAATGATAGGGTTCCATTGAAGGATTTTTTGCTAAATTGTCTGGCAGGGTTCTGAGCAGTGAAATCCCATTCACATGTTGTGATCCATACCTTCTCCAGAGGCTTGTTACGGCCAATTTCCATTGAGTATAAAGTCAGATGTAATCCTTCCAGAGACTGGCCATTTCCATATACAAGGAACACATTGATTTTACTTTGGGAGATAACAGATTGAATTTGAAGGATTTTTTTCTCAAGTATCTCTCTTAATAAAAATAGTGACATAATTGGGATCATCTGTATCCCAGCTATGCAAATATTATTTTGTAGAAGCTTGGGTCTCAAAGTTCGAAGAAAGTTTTCACCACTTTCATCGTCTGAAACAATTAGACTAACCCAATTCCATCCAAAATATTTCAGAAGTTGAACTATCCCCATGTATTGAAAATCTTCATTGGGAATCATTCGGTAGAAAGAAGAAAACCCAATTTTCTTTCTTAATATGGGGTCAGAGGAGCCATAACTAACCTGGGGAAAACATTTCAAATCACAGAAAAACATTCAATTTTGTATAAACTCTTTTTAAATGGCTGCTAATATTAGATACAAATTTACTGGACATTCTTAAAAATCCACTTTAGTATATTGTTTGGTGAGTGGATGGACTCACTTACATTGCCCATGGGTGGTCCTTTTTTTAATTAAAAGTTTTTGCAATTTTACAATAAAATCCCTCTCCCACTACCTCCCTACCCCCCAAAAAACTCTCCCCCCCTCTTCCCAGAGCTGAATACAGGGTTAAGTAGAACTAAGATCATAGGTGGTCCTTTTGAAGATGAGAAATACCAGTTAAGTAGCTTTCATATTTATGTGGTCACTAAAAATCAACATCAACTTGATGGCACATAGTCAGACAATCAATCAATCAATCAGTGTATTTACTTTGAAATTCGTGAAAAGGATATGAAAGAAATTTGATTTCTCTAGTTTACATTTCAAGCTTGCAGTAAGCCAGGTCCTCAGTTAGAAGTAGATGTAAAATGACAGTTCAAACAATAGAAGAATTTACCTTTACAACTGAGACTTAACAGATTCTCCTTTTCTTCTATATACCTATTTCCAAACATTTACCTGAGGAATCTTGTAAGTACTTAAGATGTTGGCCATGTGAATAGAATTTTCAGAGGTGAGTCCCCCAATGTTGGCCATGACTTCCTCTTCAGTGATACAGTAATAATTGAGTGGATCCCCTTGTCTTAGAAAGAGAAGATCCAAAGTGGTCCAAGTGGTTCTCCATGAATTGTACGCATTGTCATAAATCTTGGACCGTAATGTGTTGTTGGGTAACAGATCGGGATTCTTATTGATTTCTTTAATGGCAAAAAGAAAAGCAAGGACATGCTGGTAGTTTTTAGGGATTAGACTGCCAAGAGAATTTTGAATATTAGATCTTAAGGGCTAATAATTAAGTGACTTGCAGCTTAGATCATCGCTTGCCCATAGAGCTCAACTGAATATCGTTCTCTATATGATGGGAAACTCTTTCTGAAATAAATGCTTCAGATATTCCCCTAAAGCAAAGTGAATAAATTTCTTTCTTCTGTCATTAATGCACACACTATATATCTGTCTATATATTTTAGGTTTCTTTTTTAAAATTGATACTCTTTTCTTTTGTACTTTATTATATATCTCAATGGTGTAATTCATACAAGTTATAGATGTCATAAAGAAACTATGCTCTTAAATCAGAGAGATGGGGGAGACAGACAGAGAGACAGAGAGGATCTAATCTTCCAGGTAAAGTATATAAGGATACACAAAATTTTGGATGTATACTTTGGATATACAAAATTGCTTCTCCCTTTACGCATCCAAAGTACATTATTAAATATAATATAGCCATAGACATACTTTGTCAGGGTTTCTAATGAGAATTCTTGAAAGGAATTAGGGATGTAAGAATTCCTAATTACTCTCATTCAACTTGCCCAAGGTACTATACCCAAGAAATGAAACAATATCTTGGAATTAACATTTTAAAATCTTATTATTTATTCCTTATTGTCTACCAGAGGATCTAAATTGTACAGAGAGAACTATTAGGGCTCTGAGCAAATCCATCTTCACACACAGACTATCTATATGTTTTCAGTCAAAAGTTAATAGCTGAAATCTGCCTCCCACCTCAATTTCTGCTATAAGTGTGCTTGGCATACAAAATGTCAAAACATGGAGAAAATTAGAAGACAGAATAAGAGATCTATCATTATTTAGAAATAATCATTTAGGTGGGGAAAGTAAGAATGATCATCAGACCCAAACAGAATCTTCCAAGAATGAAAAACCACTGAAGGTTTTTTAAACAAAGAATGTTATGGGTTCAGAGACACCTTAGATAAAAATGAAGAATTACTTACTAAGCTTGTGTTGGTGAAGAAAGTGGATGTTCCCTAAACTTCTGTT